TAATTAAAATATTATAATTTTCCTGAGTATAGCTTTAACTATATATTAAGGATTTACATGGAGTGTTTTCTTCTTAATTTTTTGTTGTTGTTGTTACTGTTTTCTTTACTGGAGTTGTAGCTTACATACACTAAAAAACCATATAAGTCTCCGTGTGTGTGTGTGTGTGTGTGTGTGTGTGTGTGTGTGTGTGGTGTTTCGCTAAATTGTTCAAGCTGGGCTCAAATTTAGGACTATCCTGCCTGAAACTTGCAGGGTGCTAAGGTTAAGGGCCAGCACCATCACTCTCAGCACAGAACGTACAAACCTTAAACATACAGCTTATGTAACTAACCATCACCAATCCAGACAGAGCACATTTCCAGGAAACCACCACAAAGGTGACCCCTTATTTTGATTTTTCTCATTATAGTGTTTCCTATTTTGAACATCATTTCCAAACAGTATATACATTGTTGTGTCTAACATCTTTCCATGTTTTTGAAAATCATCCGTCTTGTATATTCTTCATTGATTTGTAATATTTGATTTATAAATATGTCAACATTTATTCTTCTGTTAATGGATATTTGTTTTCTTTACAATTTGTGTAAATTGTGGGTAAAGCTGCTGTTTACACTGACATTTGTAAGTTTTTCTTGATTTGTTTGTTTGTGGTTTTTGTTTGGTTTGGTTTGGTACCAGGGATCAACGCAGGACCTTGCACATGTCAGGCAGGTGCTTAAGCTGCTGAGTTATCTCCCTGGCCCCAGTTGTATAAGTTTTTGTGGATTCATTTTTCTTTGGTATATACATAGGATTGAAATTTCTGGGTCATATGTTTGTATTTCTTTGTCCTTTGGTAAAGTTGAGCCCCTTTTGTGTGCTTACTGATTATCTGGATTTCTTTAATGATGTGTCTATTTACAATAACTCTGGAAGTTAGTCCACTTTATAAATTGGGTTATTTGATGTATGATTTCTTAATGTCTGAAAACTAGTTCTTTGACACTCTATTGAAAATATACTTTCCAGGGCTGGCCAAATAGTTCAGTGGAGTAAAGCGCCTGGAAGTAGGAGCAGGAGTCAAGGGTTTGATCCCTGGGCCTGCCCCCAGGGCGCACTGAGAGGGCAATTGAGACTGGGCGTCATGCCTATAATACCAGCTCTTGGGAGGCTGTAAACAGGTGGATCACTAGGAGTCTGATCTAGTACCTGAACACCCTATAGACCCTTCCCTAAAAATACAAAAAATTAAAAAATACAAAAAAGAAGAAAATATATTTTCCTAGTGGCAGTTTTCTTTTTCACTTCTATCATGCTGTCTTTTGATGAACAGAAATTTTTTACTTTGATGGAGTTTAATTGATTATTTTATGATGCTTTTAATATCACATTGAAAAATGCTTGCCTACTCCAATGGTCTTAACATTTTCCTTCTGCATTTTCTCTCAGATATTTTACAGATTTGGGTTTTTTTTTTGTGTTTTGTTTTGCTTTTGTTGTTT